TGTGGCTGTTGAGGAGGCTGATATTCTGAAAAGAAAGATATTTGATGGACAGAAGGTACCATAATAGTAAAAAGTTTATGTTTCACAGTCACAAGCTCTGGTGGTAGCTGCTAAGAAATGTCCTACCCGAGGTGCCCTCCCCTCCCATTGCCATATAGACAAATAACATTTTCAGCGTTGAGCCTCTAATTCACATCCACATGAAATAACTGGAGGAAGTGGTATAAATTCACCACTTGCTTAAATTCAAATCTGCAAAAGAGAGGAGTCCCAGATACCCTTTCCTCCTGCCGGCCACGGCTTTTGGGCATAACATGGTGCATCCCCCCAGGGCTGTGTGCCGCGGTACCCATCTGGCAGTGAAACTCGAGCGAGATAGAAGGACTTGGCTTCCCTCCACCTCCACCTCCTGGCGAGGCCGGTCTGGTGGGTGGTGATCGGAGCACACCAAACCCAGGCCTTGTGGGATTTGCCCTCCTAGGAGAGGCGGCGGCCGGTTGCGTTCGGAAACATCGGCAAAGGCTGTGGTGCCGCACCTCTGCAGGGAGGCTGTCGTAGACCCAGGGAATGAGGAATTTTCCATTCTTCCGCTAAAAACACAAGTATTTAAAGTTTCTTTGGGCCAGCAGGTGAACTCGAGAGCCAGTCACCCCTTGGCATAGGGGCTGGGGCTCTGCCGTTGCTATTACGGCAGAGTTAGTTTCTCGGGAGAAGTGGGATGCAGCTTTGAACCTCCTGAGCTGAAGAGAGCACTGAATCCAGATCTTCCCTCTCCTAAGTAGCCCAATACCATGCAGCTGAGCGAAATGGGAACTTCTGCCCTGTGGCTGAAAAGAGAAGAGGCGTTTCATCCCTGGGTTTGAAAGGCCTGGGTTTCCTCTTCAATTCCAGCAGAGGAACACGGGCAACCCCAGATCTGGGCACCTCCGTGCACTAGGGTTAAATCCAGAGCCTGTCTTGAAGTTAACTTCAAACCATCTGTGAAGCGTTTTCCTCTCGCATTTGCCTGCACCCTGTCCCACCTGGCTCAGCAGCTGCCTGCTGGGGACCCTTCCCTGGCACGTCACCTCCATCCTCCACCTCGCAAGGGATGTGCAGGGCTCTGGCTCGGGGCTGTGCAATCCTCTCTACCTGCACGCTTGCAGCGAGGCCCTTCGTAGGAGCAGACGTTCGACTTTGGTCACAGAAGTTAAATTTGTTGGGATGGCTCACATCAATGCCAATGACTGGTTTTGTAGGGCAAAGATCTAGATCATTACAGTTATATATTGCTAAGAGAACGTTTGCTTTTTTTTGATGCCTACTTTGAAATAATTTCTGAAATTTATTTTAATGCCAGTAAGATGGTATTTATTGCTAAATAATAAGCCAGAGCTTCAAGTATTTGCTGAAGGTCAAATTCTTGCCCAGTATAAATTCGAGTTTCTCCATTAAAAGCAGTATGTCTGTGTCTGTTAGCAACATCTGAAAGATCTGGTTTGGAAACTTGGGCAGGGAAGAAACAATTAGTGTGTTATTAAAAAAAAATTAGTGTGTTATTAAAAAAAAAAAAAAGTGAGAAGGAGCCAGAGAGGACTGTACAACGCTGTGCATGAAGTCTGTGAAGTCTGTACAAAGCATCTCTGTGGCATTTCTCATCATTGGAAGAAGGAATTGAGAGCTGCAGTAGATTACTGAGAGCTCACATTTATCTCTGTAAATTCTTTTGCTCCTGGAAATTGCAAGATACTCTGAGAAAAAGACATCTAATTGTATTAGTGAAGTTTATAGAGATGTAGTGGGTCTTGATTAATTATGTAGTCAATTATATTAAAACGTTGCATTATTCATGTTCTTTAAATGTGATTTGCCAAAAATATTCCCATAGGGCACTGATATTTCATAGTATATTGCTTAGGATTAGGAGATGAAGTTCCCAGGTTAAGTTATTTACTGTTAATGAAAACACCACTCAGTATATACGGCTTGAAAATCCATTGTTAATTAACAGCATTCAATTCTTAATTGTTTTTTTACCAGTTCAGTTGAAATCATTGACACAAAATACATTGTTAAACTGCTTAATCAATCATTGTAGAAAAATAGAGGTGTTTGATAGGGACATTCTAGTACAAAGATTACGTGAAGCTTCCCCGTTGAAAGCTTTGGAGGCTTCTATTTTTTTTTAAGCTTATGTTACAAAAATGAGATTTCATAAACTTTACAGTCCATACTACATTAATACCAAAGACAATAAAATACAGTGGGAGAGAGAGAAAGGAAGAACACACACACCTTAAGCTTTAAGTGCCCTATTCACAAAAATATAGCTTACACATGCGCATGCCCCAGTGGCGGAAAGTCTATTTTTTTGTGCTAAAGGACAAAAAAAAGGTTTAATTAGGGCCCTGAGCTGCTGTTCTAATTAATGCAAACTTTTGTTAAACTGCAGCAATGAATTATAGAGTGGCCCAGTAAATTACAAGAGCAAAAAGCAGGTTTATCCTCAGAGGAATGGTTTGCTTTCAGCTCGCGCACCTTTCGCTAGGACTGACACGCATGGGCGGCTCGTCGCTACTGATGCTGCGCTCCCCCCGGCTCCTCTGCTAGAAGGCTCCTGTCTTCTAGTGGAGCTGTGGAGCCACCCTTCCTTCAAAATGCTCGGTACCTCTCACCGGTAACCTTACTGGCGGGCTGGGCTGGATGAACTGGAGCACTTGGCAGCTGCTGGTGCTGGGGCAGAACAAACTTTGAAAGGTCTGTAGCAAAATGAGTGTTATTTCACAAAAATTCAGTGTAAGTAACCTTTACTGAGTTGGCAGAATCAGCCATGCCAGGTGGAGGGAACAAAAATCCATATTCTGCACCATTCCTTACACCATGCTGCTTTGTAAAAGCCTTTTAGGGCAAATGTTCAGAGCTGAAACAAAAAACTCTTTCCATCCAGCCTGATCTGCCAGTACCTGGTATGCAACCCTTTCCCCACACCCTATGCTGCCCGCCTCAGCGTGAAGCACAGCTTGAGGACCTGCAGAAACCCCTGCTGATTAGCCACAGTCCGTGAAAATTAACAAGGGGCAGTTGTTTCAGCAAAAAAAAAAAAAGGAAAATAGATGTGAATTTAACGTGAAAGCTATATCACAGTGCAAAATTTCCACCTGCCCACTGAGTTTCTCCTGAGGTTATTTTTTTTCTCTTCTATTTTAACGTAAATGTTTCTGTACAAAAATGCTTCAGATTCTCTTCAGTGTATTCTTTCTTTCCGGAGTAGGCAGGTATAAAAAAAATGAAATTAAGGCTGCAGCTTCTTCTCCTTTGCTGACAGAAATGCTGTTCTCGACGGGCCTGAGTGAAAGCCCACCGAAAGCATTGCTTTTTTCAACAGGTAGTATTTTATGCACGCAGGGCCTGGCTGAGCGGTCCTTAGCACTGGGCAATGCCGCACGGTGTGAGCAGCCCCCGACGGAGCGTGTCCGTGGAGCTGTGACCGTACACATCAGCTCCCCTACTCGCGTGAGTGTTGCCGTGTAAGCTATGCAAATTATCACTGCCCCGTTTATTTTAAAGTTGTCAAGTCGGAATGTACAAGATTTACACGGATTTACAACAGCCAAGGAGCTAACCCAAGGTGGAGAAAGTCGTTAGGGAACCAGTCTCCTGAGCACGGGTGGCAGGAGCTGTGTGTTTGGCTGAGAAACCCTGCTGAAGCATATACCCAGGGATGTTGCACCCTCCGTGACTCTGCCGGACCGGCCAAGCACCGGCGCTGTCAACAGATGAATTTCATTGATTACGGCTTCAGATGAAATTCAGCTGTTTCTCTCCCAGCTGAGTAGCTAAAAACCTACTTGCTAAGGTGCAACGTTGGGTTTTCAATGGCTTGTGCTGTTTGTGTAGCAAACTACTCCGCTGAAATCCTGTGGTTCGGGTGGGGAGAAGGGAGAAGTTTCCCTAGATATTGCACATAAAGGATAATACCTCCACATGAAACATGCTTGCTATATTAAGAGTATACAGGAAATTCTGGCTTGCCATGAGTTTGCCACAGCCTAAATTTTAGGTTGAACTGCCAAAAAAAGAACCAGGAACAGTTTGCCTTATTTGTAAACATTTTCACAGTATATCAGTAATTATGTTACAGTTTCTCTACTCTGCCCTCTCCCAGACTTATGGCTTTTTAGAGTCAGTGAAACGATCTGTTTGGCAAACAGTGAGGTACTCTAAATAGCTGCCAGTCTGGTACACTGAAGAAAATGTCATGCACTAGAAGAGCCATAGATATAGGGGAGGAAAAAAAATCAATATTACACTCCAAATATTTGAAGAGAAATGCCTACTCGATGGGTAGTTAGTTTTTGCATCCCAATATTTCTAGAACTCTGTTTCTAAACCTACATTAATTACACATCTATGTACATTATTTAGAAGTTCTTTACTACAGTACTTTTGTACATGCGGTGTTTATTACTAAATGTAAAGAGAAAGTAATTACATAAGGCATATGTACAGTATTGTGTTGGATTGCAGATCCCTCTGCTCACCTTCGTCTTAAAGCTGCAAGGCCCATTTCATAGAGGCCTGTCACTCCATTTGTGAAACTCTCCTGAAATACATCAAAACTGGAGCCAAGGCCCATTACTTTGATGAGCATTAGTTAGTCTTCCTTTTAAATCCCTTGTATATATTCCCACTGCTTTGGGTTTTTTTTGTTGTTGTTGATGTGAATAAACCTGGAGGTCTGAACTCAGAGAGGTGCTGAGGAAGCCAGCAGTCATTACTAGGGCAGGGATCGAGATTCCACCATCGATAATGGGTATTGCAGCTCTAACTCACGCCTTTGCTTAGTCTGTGAATCTCTTGAGTTTAAATTGGGCAGGTAGGTATTTCGCATCTTAAGTATTTATTTTCCTGGAATTAAGAATAACGAGGAAGAAAAAAAAAAAAGCATGTTGGAGAAAGAAAAGGGGAGCAAAGAGGGAGAAGATAAAGGAGGTGGTGTGGCCCTTATGCCTCCGGTGGTTCTACACTTTGGACTCATTCTCCAAGTTGGCCACATCACCGTTTCTTTCATTTTGGTCGTCTTGATTCTTTTCTTCCTCTTCAGTTTCCAGCTCAGCATGCTGGTCCAGCTTGCTGGAAACAGACCACGTCAGGGGCAGTTCTGCTCGGCTGGCCATCTCTGCCAGCTCTTTGGCACTGTAAACTGGTGTGTTGGTCTCATACGTTTCATGAAAACTGTTGTAGTCAACTTCATAAAATCCATCCTCCAGAGTGAGGACAGGGGTGAAACGGTAACCCCACAGGATCTCACTCGTAATGTATGAACTTCGAGCTTGGCAGGTCATTCCTGTAACAGAGAAGGAAGAAGTGCTGTAATAAAGACCCACTGCTTTCCCAGATCCTTAATTATTTTTTCATATAGGCAGAGAAGTGTATGTAAAAAGGCACATGCCAGAAAAGAATTAGGTTTGACATCATATGAGGTTGAGCTTAGAAGGCAATTTTACAGTGTGTAACCTATTTGACGCCCTTTCCTTCTGTGTGTACATAGTAATAAGTGGTGAGTCTGTGAGCAAAGATTAACATTTCTTTATTAAATGTAGTTCTTTTTCCTGTATTTCATCAACGAGTCACTCACCCGCTGATGAGTTTCAGATGGCTTATTGAGAGCATATGTGACTTGCACCATGCCATCCTTTCATTCCCTGGCATGTAATGAACCCACGCTGCCATGTTCAGCACTTGCCCAGGCTAACTGAGGAACTCATACAGAAGTTTTTCTCAGCTGGAGCCAGCCCCTGAGCCTGTGATCCATGGGTTGACTTGGTTCCCCTAAAGGTTGGAGCTGCCTTTTAGTTACACTGCTTGGAGGTTTGGGCTGGTGGCCAATGCACGAACATCAGCAAAACTCCTGACGGACATTGTGATAGTGTGTGGTGTCAAATTCAGGTAACTGGAACTAACTTCATTGTTACCTTCCCTTCACAGCTCTGCTGAACCTCACTCTGGGAGCTGCTATAGGCCAAAAAAATCCGTAAGATACTATATTTTGTTAAGAGGCATGGAGAGAGGCAGCTGTTCCAAGCTGAAAGTGTAGTCCAGAGTATACTCCGGGTGAAGAAACACCTGGCCGCAGCAGGGACTTGTGACTTAGAGAACCTGCTCCATCTCAGACAAACAACTCAGGGAAATGCTACGATAAAATATTAATGCTCACTAGTGGAAGGGGAAACCCAGCTGACCAGGAAAAGGGTCAGAAGAAGTGAATTTAAGAGGCAAAAACTGTGCTGCCAACAAAATGGGAGTACATGGAGAGAATGTGATGGTTTTCCTTTAATTATTTGCACATTATTAACTATGTATTACTAAGCAGACATCAGCCAAGCAGTATACGTCAGATACTTAATAAGTAATGATACATAACCCCTGGACAAGCCTGCCACACATCAGTTATTTAGAAGGTAATCATAATCAATTAAAATTGTTTAATTTTGGGGGCACAAATGGCAGCCTGTAGAAATACACATCATTTCTCTACGCTGCTAGCTTCATATAAAGGCACATGGAGAGTCTCAGGAAGAGCAAACATTGGCAGTTTAATGTCTCCAATCTTCTTCAGGGCTGTGCAAACTGCTTTAGATAATTCTGCCCTCATTCTCTCGAGCCTCCTCTCCAAGCTCAGATAACTTGCTTCCAATGGGTGAAAACTGCTATTTCTTGATACTCTATCTTTTTCACGATAACATTATGTTTAGAAAGACATTTACCAGCTGTTACCGCACTGTGATACTTCAGCGGTTCTCCATCAATTCCCTCCTCTTCCCGCAGCACCTCAGACCCTGCGGAGGGGTGACTGTCACACAAAGCTTTAGCATGAAAACTGCTGCACCGTACCTACCTGCTACAGCCAGGCAGAAAGGCGACCGTACTTCTACTGTGCTTACTGATCTTAATTTCTCTTTCCTTTTACCTGACAGAAATCAACAAGCCTTCATTTTTCTCAGTTTTGCAGAGCAAGACATGTTTGCGTTTCAGTTCTCAAGTAATGCACAAATGGTAACATAAAGATCTTACCATTTTTCTGTTCATTTCACAGGTGGGAAGGGCTGAAGGACACAAAATAATCTCTTGTGAGATTTCCTGTGTGATTTTTAGTCTAAAGGAGATCTTCTTTCTCACAAAATGACAGAGGGAGATGAACTCGGCAGCTCACAGAGCCCTATACATATGAGAAACGCACTAGCTGTGCAGCAGCTTCCCCAAAGGGTCGTTTGGGTTTTTTTGCGGTGCTCTTCTGGGCAGACCCAGAAGCGTGGGTGCAGTACTCGGTAGGGTCTCCTTGCCCCCGGGAGGGAGGCATCAGCAGGCTGGGGGGGCAGAGAGGGCTGGCAGTGACCAGTGCTGGTCGCGATGTCTGCCCTGCTGTCTCGGGCATCCCTCTGGGCTGGTCTCCTACCAGCATCTTTGCGGCTGCTTGGTGGTGGTCCGAGACCAGTGACCCCCCCGGATGGGTTTCCCCAAAGGAGTATGCTGTTCCTAAGACTCATGTGTTTCTAATCCCTTTCTCTGCTGCTGAAATTTAACTTCAAATTGAGTGGGAAATTTGGAGTTTTCATTAGAAGGGCAATGAGACTAAATAAAGAAAAAAAAATTGAAGTCCCTCTGAAACAGTGTTACATTCCTGTGCTCAGACCAAGTACTCAGTGATCCTGCTGCTTTGGTTGGAAAAATTCATTTCACTGGTGGGAAAGAGGGGGGCAATTTTCTGCAGAAGTCAAGAAGATTAATTGAATTACATTAGAGTTACAGCTCATTGAAAACAAACACTCGTGAAATTTTGACCTGTCTTAATTTTTAATTTAGTCTCCCATTTAGCAGTGATTAAATACCTGGGTTTTTTCCACAGCTAGACAAAATACTTTCAGAGCTAGCATGAAAGAGTTAGGATTTTTCAAGCAAGTCAAGTTGAAATCAAGAAAAAGACTTTATCTAGTGAGGGACGTGTGTATGAGAAAGACCTTACAATGCTCTCTAAAGGTTTGAGAAAGCTAATACAGAAAAAATTTGTAAGTGGATCACAGGGATTCCAGATTAAAATGTGGCACAGTTGTGGAGACCCTTGAAGTGATTGCCAGTGCGCCTGCGTGGTTCTGGAAGCAGAACAGAGAGATTTCTGCAGTTCTGCATGGTGTGTCTTTACCAGCCTCTGCCTGTGCTGGTTCAGAGGTCCTTCAGCTCCACAGTCAGCAGAGCTTCTGGACCGTCTTTTCTGCGCTTAAGCCCTTATCATATATTATGGTCTAATTGACACATGTCTCGTTATACTCCATGTTTTTAATTGTCCTGTAAAAGGAAGTGTGACTTTTATTATTTGCTGTAATTTCTGAGCATGCTCTTGGATGACGAGGAAGGGTGCATCTTGAATGAGGGCGTTTTAGACTTTAGGTTTCCAAGTGTTGCGTGATTTATTCAGTAATTGCGTGGTTTACATGTAGCCATAGATCTGTTGCACAATGGCTTTAAAAATGATTGTGGTTTGACATTTTGACTAGTGTCTCATTTTAATTGGATCCCTTCTGGGTCGATGAGAGCTAGGGAGCCTTTGGAGATACTTAGCTCAGCATTAATTGGGCTTTTTCAAAATAAGCCGGGAAATTGAGAGACCCAAATAATTCATTCTAAATTAATTAACACTATAACTGGAAGGAACGGCCTATTTGAGATGGAGTGTCGGAGCCCAAAGAAACCTCGAGGCGGGACTCTCAGGCCCTGCTGTGACGGACATGGAGTGAAGCCGGGGCAGCGGATGGTAGCGGAGGAGCATTCCCGCTGGGATGGGCAGCCGCTTGCCCCTGCATGTCCCGTGCGGCGGCTCTGCAGCTCCCAGCACCATCTGTCCCTGCTGCCCGGCACGCGGGGACGGCAGCGGCAGGATTAGGTTGCAGTGGGCTGGTTGCTTGCACCTGTTCACCTCGCCGCATACTGTATTTTAAATACTCCGTGAGCTGATGAGACCTCTGATGGTCGCCCTTAACTGCTGTCTCACTCCCTTAAACTCGAAGCATTTTTAATGAGTGGTAATGAGCCTTTGTATATGTTACAGCTTTCTGTTAGGTCTTAATGGCAGTGTTTCGGTCTGTTTGTTTTATGTTTGTACAGGCTAGGGAATCATGACCGAGTGTTGTGCAAATACTTGATTGCTGGACCAAGTTACTTAAGTTGTAAAATTAATTGCCATCTTACCTCATTGTGAGGTTTTTTTATTATGTTTAATTTTCAGTTAGAGCTTTGTGGACTGTAACCAGCATCATAAGATTTACCACTTCTTTGTGAAAGACACACACCACGGTGGACACTGTGCCTATCGCTCCCCTGTCCCCGTTCCTGGGGCAGAACTATGGAAGGCGAGTTGCAAGCTGAATTTTGGTCCTTGTTATATCAGGGGAGGCAAACTAAATTATGGGGATTGGGTGAAGGAGACCTTTTTTGAGACAGCCAAGCTAACATGGCAACATTTTTATTGTTTTGTTTTCAAATGGGAACAAAAAAGGTCCTGCTGACAGTGCTGGGATTAGCTCCATGTATCTGAAATCAGCAATTAGTTACTACTTTGGATAGTCTCGTTAACATACAACCAGTGTAATTAAAACTTATTTATCCTCTAAATGCTTATTATTCCTGTTCAACAGGTGAGGATCTGAACTGCACAGAGATTTTGGGTAACACTGCAGAGTTAAGAGTAGCTCATGAGCGGGAGCTGGCCTGCTAAGCCACTTTCTGTCTGCATTGAATATGTCACGCAGCTGGGCTCCTGCGGCCAGGTACCTGTGCTGGGGTGGGGATGCTGTAGGGGGCTTGGTCACATCTGTGACACTATGTCCTGTTTGCTTCAACAAGGAGATGGGACCACGCTCTGGTTCCTGATAACCTGTGGGCTGTTCCTCTCTGAGCACAGGCTGCAGCGGCTCCCTCTGCCTGACTGGGAGCGTGGACACTATTTCAGTGTACCCCATCAGCAATTTTCCTTGCAGCTAGAATGAAAGGTTTTATCAAGCTTAATGTTTGCACCATGCAGTCTAAGAAAATGACAGAATAATTCCCCTAAGCTGTTGCTGATATGCGGGTAAGGTTACAACCCCACCTTTGACTGATTAGAATTAATAACAAAGTTGATGCCACCTCCAGATTCATTACTCTTGAAAAGTCGCCCTGTGCAGTTATTCTGAGGTTACAGTTTGTTCATGCTGTCTACTGCTATTTAGACTTATGCTTTGCACTGTCTTACAGTGCTACAAGGGTTTGGTGTGGTGACCCAGCGTGACTTGATGCATTTCCTCACAGTGCACT